AACCCTCCATAACCCGTCGGACTAGCCGTTTCGCAATATGGTCGTATACTCTGGAGTTATTGTCATGTGTCGTGAAAACATTGTCTGAAAATGTCAGTCTAGGTAAGCCTTCATTTGCTGAGGTACATACCGTAGTAATGGTCACCGCCATCCTTCCCTCTGAACGAGATGAGCGACTTGCGCCCATCGACCATCCACTCACCCTCGGGGCTCCCGTTGTTTCCGTTGGCATCTGGCCGAACCCTGACACTCACAACGACATTACCCTTGCCATCATGTTTGGATGCTCGCTTGTCGGTTGAGGCATCAGATTTCTGGCCCGATCCTTCCGCGGGGTCATCATACGTCGTAGCTGATGTCGAGTATGAATCTTGTGCTGAAGAACTACGACTTTGGGGTGGTGATGCAACACTGATCAAGCCGTCTGACATGCGCACGCTGGGAATTGACTTTCCTTCTCCGCTACCATTAAGGAAGCTTGGTGTGCTCGAACTAATGGTGCTGTACATCGATTCCTTCGCGGCTTTCGAGGATTTCCTCGTCGATCGGGGTTTGTCTACGGCCCTTGGGCTGGGCGGAACGCCGCTGCTTGAACGTGTATCGCCCCTTGGCGGTTGTGGAAAAGAGTTGATGCTGACACTCTTGCGGAGAGTCTTTCCGGCACCATTAACACCTGAGCCAGTCCTGGGCTGTGGGAGTGCGGCTGACGGTGCTGGGCCTGGAGGGACCAGGCTCATTGTCGATGGCGTTCGAAGACCGGATCGGGGGGTTCCTGGGGCTGATCTGATCGAACCTGTGGGCGAAGGGATATTTCCTGTACTCTTGCGCGTCTTGCTCACTGGTAGAGCCGGCAGTGCCATATTGGGAGGCCCAACTGACGGCCGCGATGGGCGCGGCAACGTTGTCGTCATTGTAACTTGAGATCGAATGTGCAAAAAAGCAATACAAGGATTGGAATGCGCGCAGGCTCGAAGTCGGAGGCCTGGTGCAATGGCTTTTCAGGCGTCCTAAAAGGCCGGTCGGTCCATTAACTAAGTCGACTGAAGACAAATGTCGGACGGCTTCGCTCGATTATTGTCACCCTCGAAAGTCGAATGTAATATAAAAAAGAATGTCGCAAAACGTGTGGATTCTAGTCCTTCGTAAGGATGGTCTAGTTTGGTTGATCAAGGGAGTAATAGATCGGTGGAACGCGGGAAGCTGCGCGGAATCGGATGTATGTCTCTCAAAAGTGGTATCGACTTGGCTGTGTATTGTCAGTGACCTGAGAAGGGACGACGCAATAGCGCATAATAGTGTAAAGATTCTAGCTCTAGCCAGCACAATGAGAGAAGGGGATCGATATTGAAAAGAAGCAATTTCAAAGCAGAATAAAACCGCCAGCAACGTACTCGGCCGTTGAATTCTTTGATTGAGGGGAGGATTGTAATGGAAAGGGGGGTGGCATATGAGAGCGTTCCAGGTGCCGTCTTCGAAGTAGCAACGCAACAGGAGAGGAAGTGAACCCTTACCCTTGATAAAAAGCAAACCACAGAGAACAAGGCCAAGTAAGGCTAAGGTTAGTGTACCTCGACTAGCGCGGCGGGTGGCCTTGGTTGAGCACGGTGACGATGCCAGTCTCTGACCTCTCGGGTTGCAATAATCGAGACCGGGAAAAAGACACAGACCAAGGCCGGGACAAAGCGGGCAGTTGACTGCGAACAGAAGATCGTAGACCGAGTCTTGATTCAAGAGCTAGCAGACAGTATTGGCGCGGAAGCGAGTGATAAATGGAGTCTGGCGTCGATGTTTGCAGCTGGGGAGAACAAGGGCAAAAGGAAGATCAGTTTCGGTAATGTTATGTATGTATGACACAGACACATACAGCTGAGATTACCGTGTGAGGTGCCGTCTTTGCCTTGCCTAGACCAGTGTTGATGTGGGGAGAAATGAATTGAAAGAAGCCGTCGAGGTCAGTCGAGTTTGGGGTGGAGGTGTAAATGGCTAGACAACTGGGATGGAGGTTCTAATGCAGTCCCACCACAAGCCGCAGCACAAGCACAGAGAAGAAAGTGAGGGTACGAGTGGCGTGACGTAGAGAAGAGGGACAAGGGAGAGTCTTGGAAAAGGGTTATCAGACAACAGCAATAAGAAAAAAGACCTATAAATCCCGTAGAATTGAAATGAAGACAGTGAAGGAGAGATCCAGATAATGACGAACGCGGTTGAGATGTGGATGGGTGAGAAGCCCACCTCTGTGCCTGGGCTGAAAACGGCCCGCTCAAGCACCTGAAGCACTTTGGATTTTAGAGGACTGGTGCACTAAGTTGAGGACTGATGCGTTCCAGTTGAAGCGCCGACAGCACTAGCGTGGGGGTATTCAACAACTTACTTTACTTAGACTATGGATCTATGGCCAGCAAATGTTTGTTTGGATAATCTCATAGTAAATGTTTATCGTAGATGAGGTCCCAGACATCGTGTCTTCTGAGGCCTCTTAATGCATCTAGATTGGATGTGAGTATGCATCTTGTAACCGCAAGGGCTTCGAGGATATCGCTGCAACACTAGAACAAGGACTGTAATTACGATATGCAAGCCCAGGTCACGTCGTCGAGTAACATTGCATGCTAAAACTCGATTGGCCCGGGATGCACGGTCTAAAAAGCCACCCAGTCAAGATAATGAGCTCAACTTTATGGGGCGAGCCAACCAGAGTGTCTTGCCTGGACGCTTGAGGATATCTTCCCCGGCTGGTCTTTTAACCTACGACCATTATGGTTAGACTGCAGGACACAAAAGAAAACATTATTGTACCATCCAGCTAGGCCGACTATCGTAATGCTGTGAAGTCTGTAAAAATCCAGGGAACACGGTTCAATCTCAGAACTGATATCCCTGACTCCCCTCATCATGTCAAAAGACGGTCCATCCAATTGTTATACATGGACTTGAATTTGAACCTTTTCGCTCACATAAAATTCTTCTGCTAATCCAATAGCGATGCGCCAAGTAAGATACTAAAGGACGGCCCGGAAGTTGCCCTTATTAACATAAGAATTATCCACAAGTTCGTCGGGTAACTGCGTCGTCGATCGCGCCTACAGTAATGTACCGACCGAGCTGTAGCCTGAAGGGAGCTTCTGAAATCACCCACTTCCCTCTCTATTGGGTCTTTGAGAGGAAGCTACGGCACCTGTGATTTAGTTCCCGGGACCCGAGCAACCTCAAACAGCTAACGCAGGTACTACCGGTTGTGCCTGGTTAGAATAGCAAAACTTGGTCCAGAAATGGAGGTTTGTTTCGAATATCATCATACTCTACTGAGTTTGTACGAGTAGATACCTACCTCCGTAGGTACCTAATGAATACTGTACAACAATTGCGCCTACCTAACTTGACATCTTGCCCTAGGGTGTTTGGCTCAAGCACTAACATTGATCATTAAACTTTTCTGTTTCATATCCGGCTCCTTGCTCTTGAGCTGAAAATTCTTCCCTTCACTTAGAATTCCAAGCCTTTTCCTTGGTGTTGTCTTGCCACGGCAATGCTTCCTCCTTCTGCATACATATGCACATGTGTGAATGATACAGATGTCTAGATCGCCCAAGCGTCGTTGTCTCAACTTCTTCAATGGCGCCAACTCCTTGCACCTCGACTTGCTCCCCTGCCAACCTTCAAGGGCACCATTGACCTGCTCCCAACCCAGCTAGCTTAGCTCAAGTTGGCCATAACAGCCGGTCGCCCCTTTCCGTATAAGGACTGGACCCTTCGCAATGATTTTTGCTCCTTGTTGGCGGAGCGCTATTACCGGATGCTTCGAAATTCGATCGTATCAACGACAATCACACCTACCAAGAAAGGCATCTTCGGATGTGGCAGATCCCACATCAGACGGTGATGAGTGTCGTCTTTGTTAGTTCGTCTCGTGCAGTGTCTTATTATTACTCATATAAAGCATGCACTAGGGAGATCCGTTCAGTCTTGGATTGTCCACAAAAAGATCCAATGATCCTCACGTTCGGAGTACAGTAGTACTGTACCTGCATACCCTTCCCACAACGGAGACCCTTCAAGATTTGCAAATTCCATGGATCGGAGTGTCTCAATAATGAGACCCCTGCTGAGAGTGTCCCTGTTACCAGCTTATAACCCACCCTATAGACAAGGAAACTTATGAGTGTTGGTCAACAGGCTACAGCTCACAATTGTTGATCATGAATACAGCCCCTTGCACGCAGGTCTCATCGTACCAGTTGACACGAGACTCGATGCTACATCAGATCGCAACAGTCCTAAACTCCGATACGAGATGGGACTGTTCCAAATCACGCTCAAACAAAATAACGGCGTGAAATTGAAAAGAAACATGCTCACTGTGATGGCGCATTCCGTCAACAGTCTTCAGCTTTTGCCTTGTCCCGATGTTGTGGGAGCAAACTCGCTGGCGTTGACAGGCTCATCCATCATTGGTCTGGATATCAGAAACCACAAGGTGCAATTTTATAAACCCCTGGACTGTACGGATAGTCTTCCAGTTTTGCACGGCTCATCAATAGGCATTAAGGGACCCTTGTCTGTGCCCCTTTCACCAGGACCCCAATGCTCCATAACTGATAGCGCGACTGTGTTGAGCCACAAGGTTTTGGTAAATCGTCGTAGACCTATAGATGGAACTAAACTTTATCACAGGATTATATAGCCCATTTGCAGCTGCACATACTTATCACATTGGTAGCATGTTACTTGAACATCAATGGTGGATAGTGAAAGTTCTGCCGATCAGCTGAAAAAAACCATTATTACTGACTTACTACGTCTGTCCGACTAACATGCTGTCAAGCCTGTCCATAGGATAAAAACATGCGCACCTGCAAGGGTATTCTCGCTTTATTTTTCCTTCCAATGTGACAGCCTCGTCCACTTGCTTTAGGGTTCCACCATCAACGGTTCTTTGACGGCCGTTGCACCCGTCTTAACGAATCGCTCACTCAAGGCTCATCTCGCTCCTGGTACCATGAGGGTCTTCTCCGCCTATCACAAATCTTGATGGTACGTGGATTATCACTTTAATCGACGGTTGGATATCGCATTGGTTCGTTCTCCGGAGATAATCTCCTACTACTTCGCAGTACAGTATGCTCTCTAAAAGCTGACATCTGAGCGCATGCGATTTTGACCAACCACATATGCATGATGATTTGTTATCAATGGACGACAAGCGAAGGCCGATGACAATGTGTTAGTACCTAATGTCACCACCTCAGATGGTTGTTGAGACAGAATTGGGTAGACCCAGCACACCTGTAACTTTATACTCCATGCCAGTCTGGATGACTGCATCAGACTTGCTAGGATCGTGCCCACTCAAGATCAACATTGCATATGCAGACTCTTCTCTTTTCTTTCTCGTTAAAAGTCTGGCCTGGTCTGATCTGACATTGTCTTGCTTTTGTCTTTCATGCCTAAGCCATATCAGGTGAAACCCCCTTGCTTGTCTTGATATTCCCAGATGACAACCCCAGTTCAAAGCTCGATAACGAATGGGCAGCTCACACATGACGACTCTAAGCTTTGGAAACAACCCTAGAACAGGCATCAAGACATCAAACCTTTCTCTTCTAATGAACGAACTCTCGGGCATGGAGAGCAAACCCGGTATATATTTCGGGTTTCAGACATCTATCGATATGCTGGCCCGCATGATCACGAACTTGTCGCTTTCTTATGCTCCTTCCTCGAAAACAGCTATAATAACAGCTGGAAAAAAAAAACCATGGACTTGTGCTTTAAAGGATGGTGGGGGGTTATGTCGTTTGAAGGATCGAGAAAGCAGAACATCGTTCTCAGCATGCATTCTATCAAAACGTATGAACAAACAGAAAGTCAAAACCCCCAACACTGTTTGACGAACGCAGACCCTTGTACTCGCCTACGCAGAGTGTCAGTGTTGGATCCAATGCCTGTCAAGCATTCCCTATCACAGTTCGATCACAATTCAATCACAACTGTCACACCTAGAAGCCTTTCCACTCCAATCGAATGTCTCAATGTGAGCGGAATTCATGCACGCCCGTATAAGTACCCTGCTCATATTATAGCGTCAGCAACACTGTAGAAGACTTATCTGTTCTATTACGGGTCGCATATATGCAGTACATGTGTTGCGACATGAAATTCAGTCGGCCTTGTTGCTGTTGGCGAGTGATTCAATTGGAAACCGCATGTTTATGACTTGAGTCTAGATCTAATAAAACCGAGTGTATCTCCCGCACTTTGATGCATCATCGAAGTTCGTTGTAATCGTCGCATTTGAACCTCATAAATGAATCTCAAAATAAGCTTTCCACGAGTAAGACCATAGTCTCATGTGCCGACAAACTGAAGATCGAAAAACAATGCCGTGTACTCTTTGACGCTTCATGTCAACCTCCCAGTGCTCTCACTCCCCTTCCTACGCTTCCCGTCTCAAAGACTTCCACAACGCCCAGTCCCACGGCTTCTCCCAAGACCCAGGACCATTCAACTCCCCAGAACTCCTTCCACCGCGGCCCATAGAGTCCACCACCTTCGAAGCGCTCCTTTAACCAGCTCTCTGGTCCTTCCCCCCAACGAGTCCGTCGTAGGGAGTCTCGCACCCAGTCCACGGTAGCGGCCGCCAGCTTTAGATGTCGGCCATGACCTGGGACTGATATTCGGAGGCCGGATGGTGTTGAGGAAGAGCGCGTAAGCGTCGGGGCGCCTCCCCCGCCGCCAGCAAGATGGATGGCATTATGGCCGCCCACGGCAGAGGCTGTGCCTGATGCGAATCGTGAGACATGGTGAATCGATGTCAGCGTCGTTCGATTTTCAGGCCGAATATCGAGAGTACTTTCTGGTGTTGAAGGTGTCGAGCTTGTAAGAAAGCCTGCACGAACAAGCTCATCGGCCTGTGTGCTTTCCAGTGCACCCTTATATAATATCTGCGTAGTCGCGTTCTCTTTCAGAAAAGACCTGAATGAGTTCCTCGTCTCCTCGTTTAGTGATGCTTTGCTTAGCATCTCATTGTAGTCCGTCATCTCTATCAAGGCTTCACCTCCTCCACCACGTCTCTCAACTCTCACTCTCCGCACTATGCCATTTGTCGCCAACTCTGCAAGTTCCCGTTCAACTTTTCCCGGTGAACTAAGAATAGAATTGAGATGGCCTACAGTAACGAGAGGTGCCGTAGTTGCGCGGTAGTTAAGAATCTCAGTAGTTCGCGTTGAGTTGAAACCTGTTTGAGGCACGGGACTGAACATCCGAGCACGGATGTACCGCATAGCTTGGACGACATCTCTTAACGTCAGGTCTTCTTCCAAAACCTTTGTTAGGCCTATATCGTCGAGTTTATCATGGAATAGATCTATGTCTTGATGCTTAGACTTGCGGGCTGGTCTTCGCGGGGTTGAGTCAGAACATTTGCGAGACGGCGGTGATGTCTTTAAAGGTTTGGTGATTCGACCTGACTTGCCGAGTATAGACCTTATGGTTTGTGGCATGTTGGATGACTAGGTGTTGACGGCAGAGAAATGTTGTCAAATATAATCTCTGACCAAGCAATTGTTGTTCAATGTCATACGCCCTTATATTCGGGTGGCGAATTGGTGGAGAACTTGAAGTTTGACTCGACTCTCGAACCTTGAAGAAAGGCTCATTTAAAGGAAGGATCAGGACCCATCGAAACTGACTTCTAGACATTCATAAGACAAGAAAATCCAAAGACTATGAGAGCTCCAATGTGCAAATCAAATTGATGCCTATCCAACTGCCGAACAAAAAGTACCCTAGACCCGTGTGGCTGACTAACGCTTCGAGTTTCGTGCTTGGTGATCACCAACCCCCGTTGTCAGACTTCGAGGAAACAGCCAATAGCTATTAATTGACATAAATTATGGGTCACTTGCTAACTCAACCCGCTGTTGTCAGGATATATGAAGTGATAGCACTCATCCTCTCACTTGTCAGCTTCAGTGATATCTTCAGCAGCTCTCTTCCAATTTCTGGTTCCTTCTTCTGGATTCTGTCCCACTGGTCTCGATCCATCAGCCAAACCACACAGTCACGCTCCACGACAGCAGTTGCAGTTCGATCTGTTTCAGAGAAGAAAGGTAGCTCGCCGAGAGTCGTTCCAGCCACGATACTCTCGCAAAGCCAGCCCTGAGGAAGATCATACTCAGCACGTACAATACCACGTTCGACGAGGTAGAACCCATTAGCTGGCTCCCCACGTCGGAACAGAACTGTTCCGGCAGGAATCTCACGCCGAGAGAAGTAAGAGGCTGCTGGGAACCAAAAGTCCTCGTTCTTGTCACTCAAGCCCTGGAAGACCTGCAGCATAAGACGGAGGGGCTCCTTGAAACTTTGCCATTTCTTCGGACGTTGTACTTCCACACTGCTCAAAGCATCGCGAGCGGCCTCAGCAAGGTGATTACGACGCGGGGAATTGAAGGGTGGATCGAAGGAGGAGAAACCAGATGATTTGTTGGGAGGCACGTCCAGATTCTGCGCTGAGTGTGCCGATATACGTCTCAGGGAGTTCATCTCTTCCTGTCGGGCGTACAGAGTCTTCAGAAGCTCATTTTCGCAGCTCTCGAGAGCAGAGTTCAGATTTGGTAACATCATGACCTCGATACCATCGTTTCCAAGTCCGACAGCTCGTAGGTTGCGACCAAGTTGAGTTTCTGAGTCCACGCCACTCAAAACGAGGACGACATCCTTGTTATCGAGTAAGCGGCTGATGGTGTTGAAAGCCTCACCTGCGGAATAGTCGAGTCCAGTAACGTGCCACATGTCAAGAATCAGGAACTTGATGGGCTGCTTGGTGAATGTGCTGTCCTCCAAGAGGCCCCGAATCTTTGCCTCAACGCTGACGATGGTCCCAAAGAAGAGATAGCCTGTAAGCTTTATGATATAAATCTGTCGGCCGACCTCGTGCAAGTAATGATGCTGAGAAGGGTTGCGTCGCACAGTGGAGGAAACAATATCTCCAGAGTAGTTTCCACGAATGGCCGACACACGAGAGGTCTGTAGAACCAAGGAAACAAATGCCAATAGTATACCAACTCCGATACCAACGACAAAGTCATGAATGCCCATGACAAGAACAATTACCACAACAGTTAGATACTCTGCCAGCTTGAGCTTCTTTCGTGGAAGCCACAGAGCTTCAAGCAGCAGCTCGAAACCTAGATCATAGATCAGAGTGCCCACCATCATAACTGGGATGAAACCAATGAGTGATGGACCAATGACCATGACACCAAACGTTGCTGCGGCCAGCATATAACCTGCAAGCCGGCTATTGCCTCCAGACCGCATAAAGAAAACAGTGTTTGCATAGACCAAGTAATTTTGAATACTACCAAAACAACCGGACAAGAAGTTGGAGTATCCATGTAACCTTAGCTCCTTGTCAAGATCAGCATGATCCTCGCCGCAGTTGAGGGCTAAGGCAGGGACGTTGATTGGGACATGCAAAATGCCAAAGAATGTCAATGCAAGCATAGCAGGCACACATTCGATCACTGCGTCCCAGCGTACAAGTTTGAACTCTGAAAGTAGTGGTTAGTATGGTAGTGAAAAGGGGGGAGGGGGCATTGGACTCACTGTAAAGAGTGTAGAAGTACCACCATGGCTCCCCGGAGGGAGGTCCCTCAAAGATCCAGCCATGGTCGCGTAGCACATCGACATCCAACGAATCCAAGGCAAGGACAAAGAAATAGAAGATGAGGGGGATCGCTAGAATAAATAGGGGAAGAAAGAATTTGGATGTGATCTTAGACTGGCCATAAAAGAGAACAATGGCGAGAACTAGGGGGACAACCCAGAGAGGGACGGTGGCTGGGTCTGAGAGCTGCTTAAGAGTGTCGAGGTTGTACTGGAGGCTGCCATCTAGTCGAGCAGAAACCTCGAACCCGGTTGCGATCAGGAACCAACCGACACCTCCAATACAGCCAATAAGAATATGCCTGGGAATAAATCCCACCATATAACCGACTTTAAATCGTCCCATCAGATAGAAGACAAGACCTGTAATCATGGCGCTGACGGAAAATGACACAATAGTGGTGGCGATCACGGCATCAGGATTATCTTCCCCAACAATTTCGGTGATCTTTGCAGCCATGTTATGAAAGAACGGAACCACTTCAATCTAGGATGGTTAGCAGGCATCAATTGACAGTAAGGGGTGCGACCTACCAGTTCTGAACCAACGGCACCCTTGAAGATGCTACCAGATGAGAATGTTATTTGTGAAACAATAGTGCTAACATAGAAAACAGAAATTCCAGCAGATCCTAGGTGAGAAAAAATTGGCTTTCCTAGAGGAAAGAGGATCATTCCTAGGCTTGTTAGATATCATGCATAAACTTCGAACAACAAAACATACCATATGATAGAGCATCCAAGATATTAAGCAGCAGACCGACAGCAACAGCAGGTAAACATGAAGTTGGTGTGAGGACCGCATTATTCCAAAGCGCATGACGATCCCACTTCTTGGGGTTGATGGCGATGGTCACTCCTTTCGAAACCCTTTCTTCCATCTTATTGCCGGCTTCCACAAGACCACTAAACCATGGTCGCTTCGTTTGAGGCTTTTGACCCTCGAGGTCAGAGTAGGACCTTCGACCAGCGGATGTTATCCGAGTGAGTAGAGGGGTCTGCTCCGTAGCATCCTCTGCGTGTGCAACTCGAGCTTGCTCCCCCTCCGGTCGACATGCGTCACCGTTTGGCTCCTCATCCTCGACCTGTGGTTGGTTTGGCGCAATCGATTGGGGAGGAGATCGCTTCAAAAGGTTTGCTAGTACGGACGGACCGGCATCCGCGTCGGGATCGTCATCGTGACCGTCTGGAGACGGTGGCTCGGAAACTTCAAGGATTGTTTTGGAGGAGCGGGCGTTGTCGGCCGTAGATGAGTCGTCGATAACCTCCGAGTCAATTGAGTCCTGGTACGAAACCCTTGCACGTTGGAGAACGGCCGAGCTCTGCTGTGTCTTCGGGTCGGAGAGCAAATAAGTCGCAAGCTCTGCAGTATCCTGCCGGACAGATAAAGCGTTCTGAGCACTATCAACTGGTGCTGTTGCAGATGGAGCAATTAGCTGAAAATCCGGGCAGACGAAAGAATGGGATGTAACATACCTAAGCCGTCTCGCACAGAACCGTGGATGAAAGATCTGATAGGTTCTCTGTGAGCTGCAGAGCTAGAGGACGGTCTTGCAGCAGCAATTGGGACATGGGGACTATGGCCGTGCTGAGCAGGAGAAGTTGAAGGCTCGTCGCGTTGCAATTGAGCTTGCTCGCTTTCCGATTGCGAAGCAGCACTCAAAGCTCTTCTCCTCCATGGTGTAAAATTGAGCGGCGACGACATTGTATAGGTGTTGGGCGGCCGCGAAGGCACCTATGAGCGCGGGTTGCAGCTCACTTCAACGCTGTCGCATGAGCAATACAAAAGGTCGACGATCGATTATCTTTCAAGGTTTCTTTTCTTCCTGATTCCCTTCTAGAGTCCAAAAACAAGGGAAATTCAAACAATAATGAGCGAGACAAACATTCCAAGTGAAGCTTTCACGATAAAGAGAGATGGCGAGGATTTCGTAGGGAATGGAGTGACGAATGTCAACTGCAACCCGACGCAACGCAGCGTAGCGCAACTGAATGACCAGGGCGATCAAAGTGAGGTGGGTCGTCTCATGACACTATCAAACTTAGGCTCATACGCCCGTCAGTTTATGGATTATCAAAGGGCAACAAATACATGAAAAACACGCAAAAGTCAAATTTGTTGTCACCGGCCAATAAATGAGCGGCTTAAAGATCACAGAATCTCCTTGATCTCTCGTTATCATGATGCTCTAATGCTACTAGAATCAGACTTGATCCTCCCATACTGTAGAAGTATATGTTCTGGAATCCTTGTCATGAGCCATGAACTGCATGTCCTGCAGCTTTTTTCTTTCTGCATGAGGTGGGCGAACGCCCCGCTAAGACTGGCCGAGAACCCACTAACAATCGCCACGGCCTAAAAACATGTCAAACTTGGTCGTAACGGCCGCCGAGGCTCGCCGGACGGGCCGAGTTGGTTAGCGCAAGGGGATGTTGAGGTGAGAAATGATAAGACGCCAATGGTTAGGTAAGTCAGGATTCATGTTTAGGTAAGTATTGTCTTGTTCATAAGGATCTATTCCTATCTGTGTATTTATCTATTATCCAGTCATGATGGAGTGTTTGCAGGGGGCATCTAGATCTCATTTTGATCTGGGAAACTAAGTCAAGTTATTCGTCCTACGATATCAATGCCTTGCTTGAGCAATATCAACAAGGAATAACCTGAGGCATTGGGCTAATTGCCTCTTTTCCGTGAAATCAAGTCTATTTTAGGACGTATCATATTTGGTTGTCTTGAGGTTGTGTGCATCTCCTCACCACACATCCAATGATGTCTTGTGGTTCCACCGTCACTACAACTTTGAGGAGCAACCGTTGTGGAAGCGATTATCCATTGACGAGTGCTCAACTAGCCTAAACCTATTGGAAGGCCAAGTCTCTCTGTGGTTGACATACTGCATTAAGCTATGAGAATACGAATTGATGTTTAGAAAAGAGCATGAATGAATGCGATAACTTGACATGTGATCTTATCAATATTCATGAGGCAGGGTATAATAACAGAAATAACATGCGACCATCAAGTTCCTTATCACTTGCTCAGACCCCGCGTTCTCTCATCCAAGTTTATGCAAATATCCCTGTGCAATGAGTCTCTCGACGTCCCCTTGGCGTACATAAAACTGGCTGTTCTTGGTCAATGTTATAGCCCTGAATTCATGGTCAGTTCATCGCGTGAGGCGCAAGTGATGTTGATATTGCGCAACTCACCCGTATTCTGTTTGGATTTCACCTGCATCCTTGAGGACTCGCACATCGATGAACAGGTCTCGTGGCGGCTCTAGGCTCCCTGTAAGGTCGATATCTGTCCATTGCCCCTTGTAGGCTGCCAACAGGTCGCTGTACTGCCTGACATATTCCTCCTCTTGGGGGCTTAGACTACTCTTTGATACATCACTACCTCCCGCACCGGAAGCACTCGCAGGATCCCGTACTTGTTGCCCAGACAGATCTACTACGTCTGATCCATTCCATACCAACTCTTCAAGCTTGTCTGTCCGTGTCCGGTGGTACGCAAGCAAGCAACGCTTGTTCCTTCGCATCGAAAGGTGATTTACCAGCAGAGTGCAGGCAACATCTTGGTCGGCGCTTGGATCAAACGAGCCTTGAAACGGCTCAAGAAGTTCTGCTACATCTTTGTCCAGATCTCTCACTTCTCTTGTCACCGCTCGAACGATTTCGGTCTGATAAGGTGGAAGATGGGTCAAATTTTGGGTTCTTTTGGCGTGTTGGACCTGTAGTTTATATGTCAGATCTAAGTCAGGAGTATCTTGACAGATAGAATACCAGCTTGTTGCCTAAGTCGCCATACATGATGCAGCTGGTCTAGGTCTATGAGCGTGTCGGGTATCTTGTTAAGCTGTTCTCATGTCTTTCACATAAATTAAGTAGGAGAAGTGATAGAGGATGATTTGAGGACTGCCAGACCGAACTATGTTCCAGGCGATGTCATCTTCACTTTTGTTTTGAACGGCAGAAATGTTGTGCTGCGTTGGCTAAGGTAGGGACATTTGACCGCGACTAGCGAATTGCCTGGACGCGCTCGCCAAGTCCAATTTTACCCCGCCATAATATGGCTTAAAGCGATACGATCCAGTAGTTGCAACTTGAGACCCCTCACAGTCCCATCACAGACCTGAGTCAGAGGTCTGTGATAACAGTGGGGTAGGCCTTTTTTTTTTCTTTTTCCCCTTCCCTATCAACGTGGATGCTTTATCACATACGAGTGGCTCCAACTTGCGGGGTGAACTGTCCTGAGAGCTACTGGCAATCAATATTGTACTCAAATCGTTTTTATTTTTGTTTTCATAATCTATGGTCGGTACGAAGGGGTAGGATTCATGACTTTTCCACCTGTACGTAACTCATTCGAAGTCATAAGATCCCGTTGGTCATAAATCCTCGCCGTCGTGCCTCATCGTAAGTTTGACATAGCTTCCATAGCTTTTTACAGCTTCTGCATGGCAGCGACGTCAGTGGACTGGACGTAATCCTCAAGCTCCTGGATCTCCTCCTCAAGGTCGGCAACGGAGATCTTCTCGTCCTCGACAACCATGTTGATCTGGAGCTTCTTGACACCGAAGCCGACGGGGACAAGCTTGGAAGCACCCCAGACGAGACCGTCCTTCTCAATAGCACGGACGGCAGCCTCGAGGGCAACCATATCGGTCTCGTCATCTAAACATTGTTAGCATAGGAATTCTTCAGAGAAGGAAGAGAGGAACGTACCCCAAGGCTTGACGTCGAGAGTGACGACGGACTTGGCGATGGTCTTAGGCTTAGCCTCCTTCTTCTTCTTGTACTCAGCAAGACGCTCCTCACGGACGCGGGCAGCCTCCTCATCCTCCTCCTCATCATCGCTGCCGAACAGGTCGACATCGTCATCGTCACCTCCCTCGGCCTTCTCAGGGGCCTGGGCGGGGTTGACGGTCACCTCCGCGGTCTCAGGGCCGTAGGTGGTGTAGGGAGCAGCAGCATCACCAGGGAGGGTAGCGAACTGGCTCTCGTAGCTGGCGATGTGCTTGTACCATCGAGCGGCGTGGGGGTACTTCTCAGCGTCAGGGGCGCTAGAGAGAGCCTTGAAGGTAGCGACATCAGCCTGAGAGGCAGATTGGCTGACAGTGTATATTAGCACATATTCTCAACTCGTTATTCAAGAACAGAATATCGGATATTTTGAAAACTACTCAGAGTTGCACAAGGGCTTGTTGTTTCGTCAAACGGCGGGTCTTGAGTCCGCCTCCGAAACACGGACCAATTTGTCTCATCATAGAAGTTCGGAATGGGAGAAAAAGAACGAGCGAGACGGTTCAATACATACCCAACAATGTAAGAGCGGGTGCTCAACCAGCTGTTGAGCACTGATTTCAGGTGTCAGTGTCCATGGCGCGGAAAAGAGAGGCGCAAGAAAAATAGTAGGCCAGGGACGTACCGGTAAGCCCAGCATCGGAAACGAGATCGGTGAAGCCCATTTTGAAGGATGTGAAAAGTTAAGTCGGAAAGAAGAGAAAGGTCGGGTATTTGTAGAGCTGGGAGAGATGTGAGAAGGAAAATGGGTTGTCTGGTCGATGTCCAGGTGGGGTTTATGAGATTTTTCACCTAATCTGCTTTGACTGGGGCTCGCTGCTAAGTGCTAAGTGAGGGGCGGGAAAGGTGACGGATTAATTCTCTCCGCTAGCCGGTCTACAAGCGTCATTGAGCTAAGGTGCAGGTGGGCCTGAGCTTCCTATCTTAGGTAACTCCATTCTATATCACAGCTGGACGACGTAAGAGCTTCTGCCGCCTTGTGAATCAAAGGTCGTTGTACAACTTTTCTTCAACACACCACAATTTTCTCTTCCGACACAAACCCAAATCTTCCGAACATGCCAATCTCACCAATTATTACCTTCAAAGCCGGCCAGTGCGAGGTTGATGTACGTCTTATCCGGCGCCCGAGAATCAGGAGCATGCACTAACTTAACTTGTCTCCAGGCCTCCTCCAAGCCTTACAAGGTGAAGCCGCAGCCTGAGCCGGGCTATATCTACCTATACTCCGAAGATGGTGAATTTTCAGGCTCGTTCTTGCTATTGCTGCATGGCTAATGACGGACCAGATCTCGTGCATTTCTGCTGGCGCAAGCGAAGCGAACCCCTCGACAACCCCGAGCTTGACCTGATCATGGTCCCCGGCGATGGCAGCTTCACTCCTCACGAATACACATCGTCTTCCGAGCCCACCTCCAAGACTAACGGCCGTATCTTTGTCCTAAAGTTTACTTCGTCATCCCAACGATATCTCTTCTGGCTTCAGTCAAAGTCTCAGGGCGAAGACGGAGACCCTGCCTATTACAGTCCCCGTGACCGCAAGATTGGCGAAATAGTCCATCAACTACTACAGGGCGAGGAGGTGGATGTGGCTGAGGAGTTGTCAGCTCTTCGTAACAACGATAACCGACCCGACGACGAGGATGAGACCATGGAAGACGCCGATACCCAGCGGGCACCTCGAGACCACCGAGGAAGCGGCAGCGGAGGTGCAGGACCTGACGCTACGGGTGGAGACGTTCGAGAGGAGGGCGAGGGCTCACGAGAGGGCGGAGCTGATGGTGCTAGAGCGTAGGTGATTCCCTTTGCATGGTTAAATTGGATGGCATGCTAGCGAGCGATGGGCTTGGCTTGTAGATCACAGATCTGGGACAACCGGTCAACTGTGTAAAACTAGATTTCTTCACTGTGAGAGGAGAATTGGGAACTAGTGTCCTGGCGCTGGATCTGTGGCATCAACTCTAAAATGTGACTGTGCTGACGTTGTTCCAGGGCCTCTTCATCAGCCCCTGATGCGGATGCTGCTGCCGCTGTGAAGAGCTTTTTGGACAGCCTTCGAGGCCCGTCAGGACTCTCTGGTGGACAGCAGCAACAAACCGCCGACAAGGCATACCCTCATCTCAACCACCTACTTCCCACTTCCATCACAATACCTATGGTTGACTCGGCTCCGGAAGAGTTCACAGACACATTGATCAGCTTTCTCCCTCCTACTGTTGTTGTCCTTGCGAGTGGTTCAACAGATTCTGTCGATGGGAAATCGGAGCCGTCAGCTTCGGCTGTGGAAGCTGCCAAAGCCTCATTATCCCTGGATGACAAACGGACGCTGTTGAAGAAGGTTCTGAGAAGTCCTCAGTTCAACCAAGCCCTGGCAAGTCTCACGATGGCCATACGGGATGGTGGTTTGCCAAGCATTGCGGATGCTCTTGGGGTAAAGGTTCAAGATGGAGGATACCTAAGAGGCAGCGGCATGCCCTTGGGTGGTGGCCAAGCTGTTGAGGCATTCGTGAATGGCGTTAAGAAGACTGTCGAGGACGAGAAGAATTGAAATGAAATGAGGATGCATTCTCCCGAGGTATATTCTTAACTCCGGGCTTGCGCTCTTGATGACATGAAAGAAGCAATACTTAAGATATCATGATAAAGATTGATACCTAGTAGAAAATGTCCAGCATCAAATGGATTTTAGAGATTAGACCACTTCTCCTAGTCTCTCTTTGTGATTTTAGAATTAAGATAGATCCATCGTTCTAAGATCGGTTTTCCGAAATAGAAATTTGAGACTCATACCATTGGACTATCATTACAACCACAACTTGTTGTTTTAGCCATCGGAGTCGGTACGTTATTGTTACTGGGTAAGAGACCTATTAATGTAGGTGTCCTTAGGTACCTTAGGTACCTAGGTCCCTAGGTGGGGCATGAGATCGTTGCCCAGGTTGGCCCCCACGAGGCAAGCATAGAGACGCAGACTGACGTACCGCACCATTCCTCAGGGTATGTTACATTTCAAGCTAGCTCATCAACAACCAAAATCCAAGCTACACCTCAAGTGCTTTTTAGTTACAACTTCATTCAAACGCCTCCCCGACGTGCTTAAACACTCTAATATTATCGCGATGGATGTCTCATTCCCTACGGACCCTCGCGAATTCGATAGCGATGATCGCATATCGTTCTCCAAGCTTGACCAGAAGTTCATTGCAGTTCACGATGACGGCAACGAGTACGAGTTTGACGCCGATTCCAAGCGATGGGTGCTTGCAGATGAGAAGCCACTAGAACCACCAGCGACTGGCGCGCTCGATGACTTCACAGAATCTGTATTGCATGATGCTGTAGATGGCGGAGCAAAAAAACGCAAGAATGGATCGAGTCACGGTTCTGAAGTAGGTCCAAGCATCGCTGCGCTGTCGACACTGACTCGATGCGTGTTCACCGAAAGGTTATTCAAGCTAACTATTGAGTAGACTCCCGAACCCAGCAAACCTTCACGACAAAACAAGAAGCAAAAGGCACCTCAACAGCCCAAACAGAATACAGCCGTCTATGTCACAGGTTTACCCGCTGATGCAACTGTTGGGGAAGTTTACGACCTTTTCTCCCGGAAGGGCGGCGTTATCGCAGAGGAAATTGATAGCGGCGCACCACGAATCAAACTATACACCGACTCGGAGGGCAACTTCAAGGGTGACGCTCTGATTGTCTTCTTCAAGCCCCAGAGTGTCGAGATGGCCATTATGCTTCTTGATGACACAGACTTCAGAATCACTCCCAGTGGCACACATGAAGGACGAATACGTGTTCAGGCCGCAGACTCGAGTTACAAGAAAGTTAAATACGACCAGGAAGGTGGTGCAGGTGGGGAAAGGGGGGATGTTACAGCTGAGCGGAAACCACAGAACAAGGATCGCGACAGGCAAAAGATCATCAAAAAGACTCAGAAACTCGATGCGAAGCTGGCAGACTGGGATGACGATGTGCCCTACCCGGGCCAGCCGGAGACAGCGACTAAGTGGGACAAGCTTGTGATTCTTCGGCATATGTTCACGCTGGAAGAGCTTGAGGAAGACCCTGCTGCCCTGCTGGAAATCAAGG